CAAGGTCCCTTCCAGCCCTAGAATCTATGAAAACATATGGCCTGAAGGCCAGATTTGGCCCATAGAAGTGGGTCACCTGGTCCACAGGGCTTCTTGTGGACTGGACCACCCACCTCCATGGGCTGATTCAGTCAGTAAGGCTTGTCACCATTGCTGCCAGAGCCCCTACAGTTGTGGCATCTACCTCCATTATTTCAGCACAGCTTCAGAACCAGGATTTTAAGATCAGTAGCTGGGGAAAAGTCGGGGGATAGGGAAGGAAGAGCAACAGCAGCATTAAACTCCTGGGTTCCAGAGATGGGCTAAAACAATGGCTCCAGCAGCTGACAGGATTAATGGTACCACTGCCACTCATAGGTTGTCCAGTCTGCAGGAAGTCCCAAGCTCTCTTACGAGAGGCCCCACGATTCAGATCTAGCCCACAGGACCCAAGTTGGACATTCCTGGCTTAAATGATACCTTGCATATGGCATTTAAACCAACAGAAATACATATATCCAATTCACTTATGTAAGTCTGCGAAGGCATGTTTTTAAATGGACTGAATGCAGTAGGAACACTCAGAAGTTACTGAACTGGCTTAACAGTATTGGATTTAAGGCAAGAAATAAAACAAAATAAGGCTACTGGGCAAAATTATTTCAGTCATGAAAAGATTTTAGAAAAGCAAATCATAGGAGCAAGGCAAGAATGAGTTATGTAATTTGTAAATATTGATAAAAGGTGTTTTTGGTAGGGTTGGAGGGCTACGGTAGTTGTGATAGAATCATGGAGTCACTGAATCATAGAAAATTAAAGTTGGAAGGAACCTCAGGAGGTTATCTAGTCCCACCCCCTGCTCAAAACAGGACCATCCCCAACTCTACTGGTCCAACCAACTATACTTTGTCTAGCCAGACCTTAAAAACCTCCAAGGATGGAGGTTCCATCACCTCCATGGGTAACCTGTTCCAGTGCTTCACCACCCTCCTAATGAGAAAGTTTTTCCTAATATCTAACCTAAACTTCCCTTGCTGCAGCTTGAGACCATTGGCCCTTGTTCTCTGATCTGCCACCATTGAGAATAGCCTAGCTCTAGTCCAGGAAGTGTGTAAAAAGCAGGGTTTAGGGGTGACATCTTTTACTGGATGAACTGTATAGTTGGCAGAAGTGTTAGGCAAGCTTTTGGGTACAAAGTGCCCTTCTTCATGTCTGGCTGGCAGACTTGTCAAAAATAGTTTCCAATACAGAAACTGCAATACACAACAGTTGTGCCATTCAACTAAATCACTATCAGCCTGTATACAATCCATTGCACTAAGCAGCTCCACAACAAATGAGTCACAGACCTAGAAATAATGTAAGATGTAGGCTGTTAGTATAAACCTGTCTGGGTCTCTGTTCTCCTCTTTCTCTCACATGACTCCAACAGCTCTCCACCAGAAGTAGTCTCCACCATTACAGCTTCAAGAGTTCCAATGACGACACTGATCATTCAAGCCTCTGAAAGTTGTTTGTGGGGTGGTTGAAGGAGATGTGAAGGAGTTATAAAAATATAGAAGATGTGTAATGAGTAGGCCTCTGTCACACCTTCGCCACTGGGCCACAATGTTATCAAGGGAAAACATGCGCCATAACTAACTTCTGAGCTTTACCCACTGTACTTCACACTGCCACAGACTCCACTGCTCCCTCTCAGGTGAGTACTTCCTATCAGAAAGGAAGGGACTTAATACTACAAGGCTAGAAAGGGTCCCTATCTCAAATCCAGAGTTGTCTTGGATTCAGGTAAATATGGTAATAGAGGGAAGAGAGACAATAGGAGGAGATGATAAATGAACACTGACAATGACAGACAGAAAATGGGGGGGAAAAAAAAGTCAGAAATGAAATCACATTGTAAAGATTAACAAGAAAAAAAAAAAAGAGAAGCTTTCTGATGCCCTGGAGAGCAGACTGAAGAGTATGCACAGAAGTACATTAGTGTTTGAATGAGGCCTGGCTCTACATGACAAAACATTTTTGAAAGGATGAGCAGCCAGAAACTAGAGAGGCTTGGGAAAACACTGCATTTCGAAAGAAGGAAGTCATACATGAGAAGTCAGAAGTCTTGCTCCTGTTATTTCTAGTTTTTCCTCTCTCCAACATTTGGAGAATCTCTATGATGACTTTTATTTTAAACTGAATTTACTAACATAAAAATTAACACACAGGTCTAACCATCTTTTAGTTTGTTAAAACACTATGTATAGTAATAATTCATCTTAAAATTTATTAGGTTGAATAGTTTTCACCTAAACAGCTAAAATATTTATGTAAGGGTAAAATATATCCATAGCACTAACCTTTAGAAATGCTGGAAGTAGTCGCCATTTTTCCTGAAAACAAAAACACAGTCTGAAATACTTTAAGAATGAACAGACTTCCAAGAAGTTTGATCAAGATTTTCCTAACATTAACAGTGTTAAAAGTCAAGTCTATATGGACTTAAATATCAACATAAATCAAGTCAATCAACCAAGATTAGCAATAATAATGTAACAACTTAACCATATAAAAATCAATATGTACAGTACCATTCATACCTGGGGCACACAGAAACACTGATAAAAATTTCCAAGTGTTTTTCTCCTCTCACTCTTCTGTTGATGTTTAATGTTTTCCAGCAAGAGAGAAATCCAGTTATGACCTTAATATCACAAATATGCACACAGTTCAATGGGACAACTATTACAGAAAGCTTCTTCACTGTATACAAGCTAGCATGATTATAGTTTCTATAAAGAAACAGTGAAACTGGCTAACCACAAAGCCCTGCACAGTATACAAATCTAAAACTGAAAAAGAGAATTCTACCTATTTCTTTCAATTATACAATAATCCCATGTGCTATTTTTAAGCTCCTATAGGTACAAAATACTCAAGACAAATGTGACTTTCAAGTTGACTGTGTATTAAGTTTTATAGGCACCTAATGATTTAAAGATTCTGAGGATTAACCAAGCATGGATGACATTTCAGAGCATCTATTTTAATAAACTATTACCATTTCATGGAGTTTATTCCAGTTGGATGAACTCACTTGCACCACAAGCAAAAGGAGCCTAAAATTAGTTTTAGGGAGTCAAAGTGGATACAGAACCAAAGTAAAAGTCACAATGGGCCTAGAAGCTTCAAAAATAGCAGCCTCTACTCCCTTATACCTACTACATACGGGCTGGATTTCAAGAGAAACCAAACACAGTCAACTTATTGACCTCAATAGGAGAGAAACAGGCTCAGCAACTTGCAGGATGAAACTCTACAGAAGTACACACTAGAATAAAGTGCTGGGCTCAATCCTGCATTGTGAGAGCAGCAGCTGCTGACACTACTACTGCCATCAAAGATCACTTTTGTGGTAGTAAAACAGAGACATTAGAGGCTGGAATGTTAATATCCCTCTTCTACCCAATAAATCCCTATTAGCCAAGAAAACCAAAACAAATAAAAAAAAAATGTATACATGCATACACAGAAGGAAATTAACTAAATCTCAAATAAATAGCACCACCTCTACTCCAAGCTTGAAAAGGGTAACATGTCAAATTCCCCCATAAAATTCACTGATGACATCACCATTGACAGGACATGAAAGATGCTTGGACACTGTGGCCATGGACAGCAGTGTTAAAAATCTTAAGTAAACAAATAGACAGACAGAGCCCTCTGTGACTGGGTAACAGCCAATCTTTGCTTCTCATACTCCAAGCCTTAAGTCCAAGGCGTGTCCACACCTTGAATACTGTACCCAGTTCTGGTCCCCACACCTCAAGAAGGATATAGAAGAACTAAAGGTGGTACAGGGAAGAACAACAAGGATGATTGGGGGTATGGTTGTATGGAGGGTTTTCCCTACTAGGAGACTCAAGAAAACAGGCCTATTCAGTTTAGAAAAGCGATGCTTGACGGGGGGACATGATAAGCATTTACAAAATACTAAATGTTGAAGAGAAAGTCAGTAAAAAGTATTTACTCTCTCTCTCTCTCAATACAAGAACTAGGGGACGCAAAATGAAACTAGTAGGTACTCAGTTTAAAATTAACAAAACAAAGTTCTTTTTCACACAGACTGTCATTCAAGGGTGGAACTCATTGCCACCAGTTGTGGAAGCTGACAGTTTAGCCAGACCTAAAGAAGGATTGGACAAATTGCTGGACAAAAGGTGCATGAGTAGCTATTGAGCATGGGAGTTAGGGCCACAGCCTGTGAACTTCCTAGACCTTAAGTGTGCCCAGACATGAGCACGGAGATTGCTCTGACATGCCGGACACGGGGAGGATGAGGGACTGCGTTTCCCCACCCTGCGCTCAGCACCACCTTGTGACCCAGCCCCACTGCCAGCCTGGGCCCCACACTGGCTCCAGGCTCACCAGTCAGGGCTGCATATGGCAACAGCAGCTGCAGCCCCCCCCCCGCTTGCTGCGCTGGGTAGTGTTTGCCACCACTGCCTCTGGGCTGCCCAGCGCGCAAGCTCCAGGCAGGCAGCAGTACCCAACACTGCCTGGCACGGCAAGCGGGGGGGGGCTGCAGCTGCTGCTGCTGCCAATGGGCAAGCCCAGAGTTGGCTTGGAGCCCAGGCTGGCAGCAGGGCTGGGTTACAAACCAGTGCTGAGCAAGGGGAAAAGTGGCCCCTCGCTCGCCCCATAGCCAGCACCCTGTGCTGTAGCTGCTTGCAGCCCACATGGGACTGCCTGTGCCTGCTCCAGACAGCCCCGTGTGGGCTGCAAGTGCCTGCAGCAGGGAGCCCTGGCCATGGGGCGGGTGAGGGGCCACTTTTCCCCTCGCTCAGCACCAGCTTCTTTCCTGCCAGTGAGCAGGGGGTCGGGGCTGTACGCCGTCCCCCACCCATACTGCAGGGCCGGGGGTCACTGGGAGCGAATGGGCAGGGAGCTAGTGGAAGCACAGGGCTCACATCAGTGCCCTGGGGCCAGTGCCAGCATGGCCCAGAGCAGGGTGGCAGGAGCACAGGATGGCAGACAGCAGGGGCTCTGTGGAGCCAAGCCAGCTCCCCACTCCCTGCTGGTGCAGCCCAGCCCAGCTCCACAGACCCCTACCAGCCTGTGTCCTGCTCTGGGCCCCACCCTGGGACATTGGTCCCAAGATGGTGACCAGGGGCAGGGCACCTGTCAAGGGGCAGGGCTACCCATGCAGCCCTTGACAACCTGCCAAAACTGGGTAAGTGGCCCTCTGCCCGAAATAATTGCCCGCCCCGGCCCTATGATCTGACCCAGCCAATGGCAACGTTCTTTTTCTACCCTGGGAAATGACCAGGCGTGCTCAACATGACAGTACCTGCATACGGCACCAGGCTGGCTGCCATTGCTTGACCTGTCCCACACCAGGCACCGGGTAACACTGAACCCTGCACTCTCAGTGCCCCAGGAGGGACACAAGCCCCACTAGGAAAGCAGCCCCCAGGCTGACTCAGAGGAAAAGCTACAGAGTCATGGTACCCCTAGTATCCCCCCTAAAGGAGGCCAATGGCCTTTCCTTCCCCCACCGCCCAGCCCCACGGGAAGCACAAAGGCAGCCTGGAGCTGCTCCACTACAGGGAAATGCCAGCAAGCGCCCCGCGCGTGCGCAGTCGAGCAGCTAGCACAGCGCGCGCCCAGCGTTCGAGCAGCCGCCAGGGGGCGGAAGAGCACAGGGGGGCACACGCCTGCGGACTGTAGGGGAGGGTGTTCTGCTGCAGGGCTCGCGCCGGAGCTGGCGTCCCTTCTGGGACCCGCGGCGAAGGGAGGGGAGGCGCTCACCTCCACGGTATTCACGGGAGCCGCCGCTTGCTCCGGGCTCAGCGTCCCCAGCTCAGCAGCCAGCTCGTCCATAGTGCGGGCAGGGAGAGGCAGCGACGGAACCAGCAGACACACACGCGATGGACCGTGGTGCAACAGCCAACCCCACCCCCAGACACCCGCGTCACAGCGGGAACGTTCCGCCGCTTTTCAAGACCCGCCGAACGCTAGATCCACCCACACGGCCTACCCCCGCGTGGGCTCCTGCTCTGCTCCCTGCCCTGTGCTCGCTCCTGGAGCTCCTGCTCCGTTTTCTGCTCCCTGCCCCATCTCCTACCTTGCTTTCTGCGCCCCATCCTATGCCCCCACGCTTGTCTGCTGCTCGGCTTTCTGCTTGCTGCCCACTTCTCAGTCTTCTGCTTTCTACCCCGTGCTCCCTTGCGGCTCATCTGCTGCTCTGCTTTCTGCTCCTTGCCTCTCTCCCTCCTCTATTCCTGCTTTCTGCTCCTTGCCTCTCTCCCTCCTCTGTTCCTGCTTTCTGCTCCCTCCTCTGCCCTCCACTGTGCTACACGCCCAGGCTACCTGTGCCACCCCTGCCATCGCACGTAAATTGGAGCAGGGCATTTGCCCAGGGATCACCCAGGATATTTGTGGTAGAGGTAGAACCAAAAGTTTCTGAGTACTTGTCTGGGGCTGGACCAAGAAGGCCACCCTGTCCCCAGCGAAGGCTGCAGCTCTGGAGTTGTGGAGCCTCCTCAAGATCCCACCACTGAAACTGGGGAGATGGGAGCAGAGAGGAATGAACAGCAGCTGCACAGGTGGAGCCAGGAGTGTCAAAAGGACACCTCAGAAGCACATGCAAAATAGTGACCCTCCCTCATTCTGCAAGGAGGGGACTTTTCAGGTGATTCAAGTGGCGGTTTAAAGGTAGCAAGATTCACAGTAAAATCTTAGTGCTCCATTTGTATTAAAGTTTGTGCTTAATGCTAAGTACCACTTAACTGTTAGGAACAGGCTGGAGACTTCTTTTTAAATAAAACATCCAACTTGTCATAAAGGAATGGGAGGCAGAATTAATAACCACACTTTGCACTTCTACAGCAGCATCTGTACCATTTTAAGTCACTGGTTCATTACTTTGGGATCATGTCTGGTGGCTGTTAATGGCCAGCACCAAATTCAGAGGAAACACAAAAAAAAACCCACCCATACTGAAAATCTATCATAATCTATTGAGCAGACAAGGAGTTTCTTCTTAACTTTGTGCAGTTATTGCTTCATCCGGTGCTCTGAAGGATAAGGATTTATGCCCCAATGTTTTAATCTTCTTTATTTACCTAAAATTGTTATAATTCAGGGGTGCACAATTACAGTTTTGGCAAGCTGTCAAGGCCTGCATGGGTAGCCCCACCCCTTGACAGATGCCCTGCCCCTCTGGTCACCATTTTGGGACTGGAAGTCCCACCCCCTGATCCCTGACCTTTGCTACCAGAAGTCCCTCCCTTTGCCGCCAGAAATACTCCTTTTGGAAAGGGGTTTGCCATCTTAGAACCAGAAAAATACCAAATTATATTCTAAAAGTCAAACATTAATTTGATTTAAAAAAATATTTTGTCCTGATTTACTTGCATTTGTGTAGTGTACAGAGAAGTGATAGTATAATAGTTTAAAATGAAGTCTTACCCTTGTATATTGGGTGGTATAGGTTTGTGGGAGGCTGTATGTGCATGGGGCTTGTGGGGATGGATAGGTGTGGGGGGAGGGTGACTGGGGAGGGTTGTTGCATATGTGGAAAGGGAGGGTGGCTGGGGGTATGTATGCCCACAGCCCCTGCCACCAGCATCAGCAGCAAGGCCTCAGGGCCCCTGGCAGGCAGAGGCCCTACCAGTGCTTCTGCCAGGCTGGGCTCAGCACTCCCACAGCCCCTGGCCCTGGGGAACAAGCACAGGCCCTGTACTCCTGTGGACCCAGTCACAGCCACTTCCCCACACCCTCCCCCACCACTGCTGCCTTTCTCCTGTTACTTTCCTAGCTCCCTGCTTCTGTTGCTCCTGCTGCTCCACTGCCGGTTGCTCCAACACCATGCGATTCCCAGTTGCACAGCCAAATCTGCAGAACACAGCAGGAGCCAGCCCAGCACAGCTGGCACTGCACAGAGCCAGCTGGGAATTGTTGGGGCCACGCTAGGCCAGCTCCTGCTGTGTCCTGTGGTCCAACAATGCAGTCAGGAACCACGTGGTGCCAGAGCAGCCAGCAGGCAGGCAGAGTGGTGGGAGAAGCAGCAGTTGCAGGCAGGAAAGTGGAGAAATGGCAGTTGCAGTAGCA